CCAGAGAAGTTTGCCTTTTGATGGTTTATGCAAGAAATTTTGATCAGACTCAACATTTAGAACTGAGTCTGTGATTGCGTATTGTTCATTGTTCATTTTTGTATTCGCTTTTTTGGTCTGTAAAACAATTTGTGCTGATCATTCAGGCGAAAGTATCGCTTTGCAGTTTTTGTTGACTCAACCGAGCGATTGTAAAAATTTGTCCAATGATTCTAATCTGAGCTGTTCCTCGGGGACAGTGACGAGGATATTGAAAAAAAGACATTTATGATTCACGAATAAGCTTGAATTCACATTGAAAAGTTTTAGACTATGCATTCAAGGTGGATCAAATGGTGGTCTTTTAGTAGCCGCATGCTCACAACAACGTCCGGAACTCTATGGCGCCGTTATAAATCGTGTTGGGTGAGTAGTGGCTTATTTGATTTGTCACGAGTTGTTTCAGTGTTGTTTTAATTGTTATCGTTATTATTATTAGTCCATCATAAAAATATGCTTCGCTTTTTTATAGGTTTATGTTCACATGTTTAATGTTTCACATTTTATATCGTTGTTTACTCGGTTATCTCGAAGCGTTTAAAAGTGTGAGTTAATTACAGTGTGCTGGATATGTTACGTTTTCATAAATTCACTATTGGTGGGGCATGGATACCTGAATATGGCAATCCGGACAAAGCTTCAGATTTTCCGTATATTTATCAGTTCGTTTTTGCATTTATTCTCAGCTCTTAGTTTCCTTCTCAGCAATGAATTTAAGTATTAAGAAGCAACTTTTCATTTATTAAGAAGCAACCTAATATTTCCTTTTATATTCACGTTTTTAAATGACAATTGATGACTTATGTTGTGTATACTTGAATACTTGACTTCCATATCATGCGTAATCTGAATTTCTAGTGAGTATTATTCAGATATTCACCTCTACACAACATCCGTATGCCTCCGAATGGTGTTCAGTGGCCATCCACATTGTTGATGACTGCAGATCACGATGATCGCGTAGTGCCATCTCATTCTCTGAAATACATAGCGCAGTTGTATGAGGTGGTACATAATGCGAGTGGTGTACAACGTAATCCGTTACTTATCCGTGTGGAAGTGCGTGCCGGTCATGGATCTGGTAAACCAACATGTAAAGTGGTGAGTTTGTTTGGAAGAGCAATTTTATTTCATATTTCGCACTCGTTGTCAAGAATGTCAAGAATTCCCGAAGAAACTCTCAGTTCAACTATGTGCCATGAAAATTCCGATCTGGTCTCTTGGAGAACATCTCTGAGCTGTGGTGGTGGACATTAGTCAAAGCTCAATTAGCATTTATTCATTGGCGTTGTTGATCGCTCACTAATGTTTTGATTGTATAAAATTAAGTGGAGACAAGAAATTGAGAATCTCAGATGCATTCGATCAGATCGAAGTGTACAATTTGAAAGAGTAGATTTTACATCGCAGAAGTGCCACCAGAAGTTTTGTTTGATGGTTATTTTAGCAGCGAAGATGTTTGTTTTTTGTTTTCAGATATCTGAATTGGTGGACATGTACAGTTTTATGCAGCGTGTGTTGGGCATGTCATGGCACGAATGAGATGGAATCAGCAGTAGGGCATTAAAAGCCAATTTGAATGTGCACCATTTGGAATGAGATTGTTGTTGATATGATTATTATAGATTGATTGCACTGATTATCTTTATACGAACAATTGTTGTTATATGGCAAAATGGATCGTGTTCGATTCGTTCGTTTGTTGAACCTCATTGAATAAAAACTGTTTCATTGTTATCACTTGATCTGTGTCATTTTGCATCCACCAAATGAATTTCATCTGAAGAATATATATAAATCATGTGGAAATTTCGGTTGTTAAGTTTAGAACTGCTTTATCATGTTAAAAACTTGAACAATGAAAATATGAGATGTCTTACAAAAATTGCATTTCATTCATTCATGCATCCAGATGTTAAGAAGTGCTATTTTTTCGTTATGGATTAAGAAGTGCTCAAAAACACTTACTCTGATCGTATGTTCACAATTGTGACCGACCCATTGAGGCCGTTTCAGTTCAAGTTATAAAAACATCGCACAGCCATGGACTAATCATCGAATTCTTTTTTTTTCATAAAATCACCAATCATTCCATGTTAGAATGAGGTGGAGCGTTCGGATGAATGCGATTGGATCGTGAAAAATTTTAATTCAATGAGGTTAGGTTAGATTTTGAGAATGATGAGATTCCTCAAGAAAATAACCTTGATTGTTATGGTCAAAAATGACCAAGTACAAATTTATCGACGTTTATCCAGTGTAAATCCTCTCGCACCAACTAAACATATTACCAATTCACGAGATCAGAAGTACAATTGCTCTCGGTTTTTTGCTGACACCTTTGCAGCATATGTATATCAATTGGCTTCATAGTGATGCTATTTAGTCAGTGTGCAGTTAGCCGATTACCATAGCAACATACCTCAACTCAGCTCATTGTCAGTGAAGTGAGTATATTCCGCGTAATCCTTCAGTAATCCAGCCGGTCTGGCTGTCAATGATTCGCTACTTGAATCTATCAATTCTTTGTTGTTCCATCTTTTGCATAGTTTGTAAAATGAACTGATATGGAATTTGGGGTCATATGGTCAAATTTGGTATGAATTTAGCTCATCCAAAAACTTTTAGTCTCACTCCAACTAAATGATTTCCAAGGTTTCCTGATACATCCGTTAATAAGAAAATCTCAATGTTAATAGAAAAAAAGGCAATATTCGCTGAAGTGAAGTGTATTGATGGATTCGCTGCGAGGCTGACTGCATTAGCAGCGTTTCTCGAGCTGAACGGTTGCTGAACGTGTCCGAAGTAGAATTAGGTCGATATCCACCAGACGATCAAATATGCGCACCAAATATACCCATCGGTGGTCACCGGCAAAAATTTCAGGAATGTTTTCATATCTGTAGTGCGAATTGGTGGATGAGATTGTTCTTACTGACAGAACCTCACGAGTCACAGCAATTCCAGATATTCATTTGTGAGTTCTGAGCAATAAGTAATTTGAGCATACGAGAGCAATGAGTGGTGTGATCGTTTCAGATCATTGCATGATCTTAAAGTCAACGAAACGTGAACGTTTCAGTATGCATACACAGATTTGTCATGTTCTTTAGAGCGGAAACTCTCCATCTTAAACGAATAATCCAAAGCAACCGAACTCACCCCGGATCAACGCTGTAGCTAACCGGTGCGTTTCGAGCATGGAAGGTTGTAATGGTGCTGGAAGCAAATGTGGTCCTTCAGAATCGGAGAAAGCATCGCAACTTTATCGGCCAACTCGTGAACGTATTAGTGATAGCAGTGAAGAGAACCAGGATGATCAACGACATCGGCAAATCGTTGGTCTGGAAGAGGACAAGGTTAGTAGTGGCTTGGCTTGTTTAACTGACCCATTGATCATTTCTGCCGGTTTCATCGAATTCTAACGAGCTTTTTGATAGCAGCTTATTTTAACGAAGTATTTCAAAAAGTTACTGATGGACTGAACGTCATAAACTTCACCATCCAAACATCATAAGTATAGTATTACTGAACGTCATAAGTATCGATTATTAGAAGAAAAGGTTCGGTTGAGCGCAATTAATCTCAGCTCTCGGGAACTTGGGAAATAATCCAATAGTTGATACAGCGTATGACTCATGTGCAAAGCTGACTGATCATGCGAAATGGCGTATCAACGCTATCTGATCTAAAGATGTCTACATAGCACATTTTCGGCGATCTATTCTATTCTGTTCTGTTCTGACTTTCAGCTGTTCTGTTCCGTTCTGCACTCGCTTTTTTGGAATCGTTTCTTTCTTTGATGTTCCCATACCCAAGATTTTCTATAGTGTTCTATTATACACTATTCTGAAATAATAAAATTCTGCTTTGTTCTGAGAGAATGGAATGGAATTGAGAATTTCATTCGGTTTAGAGGTATCACCAATGCGATCAAATACTTTAGGGTATATATGGCCATCCAGAAGTGGTAGTTCCACCGTGTTTTGACTCAGACGAGGAGGAACCGATCCGTGGTGCGAGTCCACTGCGTTCATCGCGAACTCCAAATCTGGATGCTGTAGATCCTGTTGACATGGCACAATCCAAAGCGTTAACAACCGGCACATCCGGTAACGGTTTGTTGAACATGTAATGTTGGGTGATTGCATTCACTGCAAACTGCTTTATGAGTCAATTTGACGGACTTATAATCTTCCATTATCGCTGCAGTCCGACCTCATCTATCGGGACCGCATCGATATCAACAGCTTATCTGAGCGTCTACAGTGGCTATGTGAATTGTTAATTTAAGGGAATGCATGACTTATTGTGATGAAAATAACATCGCCGACCATAAGAAATGTATTTTTCAACGTTTCAGCATCAACTAGTTGCAACGTTTTGAACTCTCTTCCATAGGTACATTCCGTTGTTATTGCATGTATCGCAGCTGATGCATTGTTATGTTTAAGAAATTATTGAGCCAGCCATACCGTTGGAAAAAGCAACTAATTTGGAGGATTTAATACCAGTTAGTAATCTGAGTCATAATCCAGCTGATTTCGAAACTAGTGTGTCACTTACGATCGACGATTCAGACGATCACCATGCAGAAAGCGCAAATCAAAACGACATGAATGGTATGAAATTCACATACGAATTTCACCACTAAACTCATAAAGTTGATGGGAAATATAAGATTTTCGTTATTTTTCAACGATAATAAGCCTGTTCGAATCGAGGGGAGATTATCGCTGAAGCGTTTAGCTTCCATGTTGATGAAACAAGAGAAGACAAAGTTTCATTTCAAGGATGACTAAAAAAACGATTGATGACTGAACTTTGGATTTGACG